TATATATATCTCGAGATCTCTACACCGTGTGTGGATATAAAATATATACACAAATACGTATATAAATTATTATTATAATATTTTATATACGTATTTGTATAATGTAATAATATAATATAATATAATATAATATAATATAATATAATATAATGATTAGGATATATATATTATTTGTATATAAGAATAACAATCATGATGATTTCTAATCATATAAAAATATAATTTAATAAGAATAGAATATAATAATTTAATTTATTATATTCTTATTTCATTAATAATATTATTATTAATTTTTTCTGTCCAGCCCCATTCCGCCCAAGACATATTCCGGCGCCGGCGGAATTTCCAGGTATATTATATATAATATTATATAGGCATATAAGAATAATAAAGAATATTATTATATTTGCATATAAGAATAAGAACTCTAACCTATTTATTAACATTATTATTATTATTATTATTATTATTATTATTATTATTAATTTTCTCCTTCCAGCCCTGTTCCGCCCAAGACATATTCCGGCGCCGGCGGAATTTCCAGGTATATTATATATAATATAATATTATTTGCATATAAGAATAATAAATCATGATGATTTATAATCATATAAAAATATAATTTCATAAGAATAGAATAGAATAGAATAGAATAGAATAGAATAGAATAGAATAATTTGTTTGGATCTAATAATAATTATAAGAATCTAATTTATTAATATTCTTGTTTCATTATTCTTATTATTCTTATTCATATTATTATTATTATTATTATTATTATTCTCCGTCCAGCCCCGTTCCGCCCAAGACGTATTCCGGCGCCGGCGGAATTTCCAGGTATAATATTAATATAATATAATATAATATAATATATTATTTGCATATAAGAATAGTAAATCATGATGATTTATAATCGTATAAAAATATAATTTCATAAGAATAGAATAGAATAATTTGCTTGGATTTAATAATAATTATAAGAATCTAATTTATTAATATTCTTATTTCATCATTAATAATAATAATAATAATAATAATAATAATAATAATAATATTCTCCTTCCAGCCCCGTTCCGCCCAAGACGTATTCCGGCGCCGGCGGAATTTCCAGGTAATATTTCCCCCCGTTTTATTTCATAATATATTATATTTGCAAATATATATATATGTGTGTGTGTTTTTATAAAAATAAAATATAAAAATATAACACCTAGTCATATCTCTCTATGATATGATATGTAGGTAATATATATAATATTTCATATATGTATTTTTATATAAATACATATATGAAATATATCTGTTACATTGATATCATATCATAGAGAGATATCACTAGGTGTTATATTTTATTTTATATTTTATTTCTATCAAAATATTTTCATATTTTATATTTTATTTCTATAAAAATATTTTTAATATTTTATATCATATTTTAAATAATATATAATATTATTTTATTTTATTTTATATAATATTTATAATATACATATCATGATATCTGCAAAGGGTATATATATATATAAATGTAAATATAAATATAAATATAAATATTAGATAGATAGATAGATAGATAGATAGATAGATATAGATAGATATAGATAGATAGATATATATAAATATATATATAATATAAATATAAATATTAGATAGATAGATAGATAGATATAGATAGATATAAATAAATATAAATATAAATAAATATAAATATAAATATAAATATAAATATAGAATATAGAATATAGAATATAGAATATAGAATATAGAATAGAATATATAATAGAATAGAATATTAAAAGAATATAATAATATAATTTGATTAATCTATTTAATGATAATTTCATTTATAAATCTAATCTAAAATTATTATTATTATTATTATTATTATTATTATTATTATTATTATTATTAATTTTCTCCTTCCAGCCCCGTCCCGCCCAAAATATATTCCGCCGCCGGCGCCGAAATCTTGTCGCCGGGCAAAAACGAGGAGGAAATCTACGGAAGCCCGGAAGGGACCAAGCCGGAGAAATCGTACGTGGGAAGGGCGGGGTTTGGGAAGTCCCGCCCCCGGAAGTCCCGCCCCCGGAAGGCGGGACTAAGGATGGACCGCCCCGAAAAGGGCGGG